GAAGGAAGGAAAAATGGGAATTCTTTCTTTCTTTCTTTCTTTCTTTCTTTTCTTTCTGTCAGGTCAGGAAACAAACAACAAGGAGAAGGAGAAGGAGAAGGAGACGGACAATGACAATCATAAGAAAAAAAGGCAATAAAACAATGAGGGGAGATTAAAAAAAAAGTCATCAACAATAACAAAGAATAACAAAGACATGCAGATAAAAAAACAAAAATAATCTTCTATAACATGCATACATAAAACGCCGTGTATCGTTGCCATTGCAATTGCCATTATCATTATCATTATCGTTAGCATTTCTCTTGTGTGATTGGATTTGATGTGATTTGATGTGATTTGATCTTCGGAGAAAAAAAAAGAAAAAGAAAAGGAAAAGGAAAAAGGAAAGGAAATGAAAAGGGAAATGACAGAAACAAATAAGGGAAAAAAAGAAAAGGAAAATGGTCAAGATTTCTTCACTGAGATTGCTGTTATGTTGTCTGTCTGTCTGTGAATTGAGTTTGAGCTTGACTGTGATTGTCGTGATATGGTTGACATTATTGAAATGGATGGTTGACATTGTTGACGACATATGTCGAAGACTCGATCGAAGTCAAGGGTCAAGGAAAAGTGGACCAGACTTTGTTTTCGTCTCGCTTCTCTTTTGTTATTGTCGTTTCTGTCTTTGTCTTCGTTGTGGTTGTAGCAGTAGTAGAAGTAGAAGAGATTGTAGTAGTCTGATTAGATCGGGTAGGTCGATAGGTGCGTAGGTAGTAATTAGCAATTATTATAGTCAAGTCATGGTCATGGGCATATCATGGCTTGATTGATGATATCAATCAGATAGATGACAACGGAAAACGAAAAGTAAAAGGAAAAGGGATTTCTTGCTCGTAGCAATAACATACCACGTCATTGTGTCTGTGGCCGTGTCCACTGCGAGTAGTATTACCATGGGTGCTTCTATTGTTCTGATTGTGGTTGTGAGTATGCTTGTTGCTCGCATACTCGTAGAGATCCTCGTCGATAGGAAAGAGAGTCGCTGTTCCGCCCATGCTGGCTACAGATATGTTGTCTATCGACGACACTGACTCTGACGATGAGGAAGAAGCATTTGACAACGAGTTTGACCGGTGGAGATGATGACCACTTCGTTCTTCTCCCTGGTCGCCAGACGTGTCATCGTCATTGCCATCTTCGCCGATATTTCTCCTCCTCAGGTTACTGTATCTGGTAGGTTTGGTCCTGCCCAAGGTAGTAGTACTGGTGTCGTTGTAATCATCGACAAAACTAGGCCCCAGGTCGAGAACGCTCACGTCACTGTTGGCAGGATGGTTTTGGATAGGAAGGCCAGTCTGCTTCTTCAGAGCAGGAGGATGATGATGATGATGAGAACGAGGATGGAGTCTTGCAGACCTCCCACAAGCACAGTCTTGTCGTTTCTCTGATGTTAGACCAGATGTGTGTTGGTGAATGCCTGTTTGATGCTCACTTTCACTTTGATGTGCAGCTGTAGTGAAACAACCTGGACAGGGCGGCAACCTCACTCTCTGTGGAGGCGATCGGGGCAGTAAGATGGCAGAGTCACAGTCTGAGTGATGGCGAAAGCTATTGGAACTGGCTGTGCTGTCGAGCCCATGTCTGACTGGTGACGGGCGGATGTCAATTGGCTGTGAACGGCCACGAAGGGGAGTAGGAAGCTCAAAAGAGCTGTCTGACGAGAGAGAGGACGAACGCGTCCCGCCACGAGGCGTCATTGTTTGACTCACGGGGGAGGGCGACGGTCTGGCTGATGGAGGCGGGTGGAGCAGAGGGGTTTCAGTCTGTGAAGGAGAAGAGACAAGATCATCTAGATGCCCAGCTGTCAGAACACATCCAGACATGCTGCCGGCAAGAAGCGGGCTGAGCCGACAATAGGCGGGCAGTGAATGCGGCAGGATACTAGAAGGGTGACTCCTTACCATCTCTCATGCTGCTGGCCATCACTGCCTCCTCATCAGAGCCCATTACGCGGCCTATTTCAGGAGAGTAGGAGTATGCCCTCCCATCCAAGCTGGGACAGGACCCTTCTCCCCGGAGAGACTCCCAGCTGGCTGTGTTGTGGTCCGAGGAAGACGATCTACGTCTGAGATCTTCTCCCAGACCGCGCCGTCCCTCTTGAGACTCGTTCAGCGAGCTGGTAAGCAAGAGCCCTGTTGGTAGTGTCTCGTCCCTATCACATCTGGGATGCAGATGGAGCCCGTCTCTCAAGTCGGCTGCGTATTCAGCATCCACACTGTATTTGTAGTCTTCCATCGCCGAGACGGTCGTCTTTCGCGTCATGTGGATTCTCTCTGTATTCTTGCTGTGCGAAGATAGAGACAGCAGCCTGACTGGCTCATCTAGTTGGGAAGAAACTATTAAGTATCGACAGATAAAGCAAAGCAGCAATAGAAATAGAAAAAGCAGACAAAACAGTCTATATTGTTTATGAAGAGTTGTATGCCAGACAAGAATCTATTACACAGAGAGAGAGGTACGATAAGTACCTCCAAATAGATAGAAGATAGGTATCACAACAAAACGAAAGAGAACAGCAAAGAAAGCAACGGAAAAGAAAGAAAGCCAAAAGGTGTGGAACACTGCCAACCAGAAAACAAAAAGGCAAAATTCCTACTTTCGTCCCTGAAGAAGAAAACATGCAAGGCACCACTGCACTAAATAGCTCATTCGCAGCCAGTCCAGTGTTTGCGTCCTCCTAGGCAGCGCTCGTTCGAGCGTACTGTACGTAGAGGAGGGTACATGTGGCACAGTCATTGCGTTTCCTAGTTTCAGCCATCACGGTCACCCCGCTGCAAAAAAAACAGGGGATATCCCCGTGGCTATTTTTCCTTGTCTGCTGGGTGCAGGTGACCTCTGCCTGGTCGGTTCAGGTGGTCATCTGGCTGCTGTCACATTGGGTTAGTGAGGTCGTAATCGCTGGGCTGTGCTCGTATAAATACTCCGGAGTACTACTAGTACAGTTGCTCTCGAGGCTCACCGCCCGGCAGTATTCACTCAACCCTACGTATGCACCTACTTTACTGTCTGTAAATACCAAAGTTCAACCTCAAGTCATCTACATTGACTCAATGATCTATTTCATGATATCGACATGATGCCTCTCATGCCGTCTAACAAAATACCGGTTAGATGTCCTGTATCAATGCAGCACCCTGCTGCTCTACCCTTGCCCTTGGACAAGACCACATGAAAGAAAAAAAACCAAATAAATCACACTTTTTGGCTCGATGCAGGGGATCGCATGAGATGGGATGAGATGCACCAGCCACATGAACCCAGAAGAAGGTCGTAACACGATGCAGATTCCATTAACCAGCACTTCGTCAAACCACACACCCTTCATCTCAACAAAAAGAAAACCGCATTAACAACACTGCCAGGAACACTAGATTCGTACGGTCATGAGTCAGCCATCGCATGGTCACCGCCGCTCCCGGAACCTCTCCATCAATCAGACACAATTCGGTCCTCCTCGTTCACCCGCAGTTCGACAACGGGGAGCTCCTCGTCCTCGTCGTCACTCACGGGCGGAACGTCGTCAAGAATCATCGGGGGATAGTCGCCGGGCTCGTCCGCCATGGGCAGCTCCGAATCGCTCATGTCACCGCCTCCCACGGCCTGGTTGCTGGCGGCGTCATCATCGTCCTCATCATCATCGAACAGACCTTCGTCTTCGTCTTCGTCATAGTAAGACCCCGGGGGCGCGGCGGTCATCTGCGAAGGGCCGTGAGCATCTGCAGCTCGGTCGAAGGACCATGCGGGCTCATTCACGTAAGGGAGGGGATTCGACTGCATGCCGCCGCTGGGATCCAGGTCTTCGGTGTCCATACCTTGCAGTCGGTGCGTCTGTCCCAGGCTCTGTTCTCCGGACCGAAGCCCGTTCGTGTACTTAAGTGGCATCTCTTCGTCGTCATCCTCCTCATCACCCTCCACGTTCCTCACTTGGGTTACGGTTCGCAAACCACCATCTCCCGCTTGGTGAGCTGCTCCGACTCCGGCTAAGGCGCTCGACGACCCATTGCGGGAGGAGTCGCCGAGGCGCCGGCCTTCCCCCGCCGGTGATTCGGCACGCGAGTCAGCCGGCGAGTCCGAGTCTGCTCCGCGAACGGACGACTCGGTGATTTCCTGCAGAAGCTTGCCGCCCAGGGGACGGTCGGACCGGCGACGATAGAAGAGCAGATACGCGGCAGGCGACACGACCTTCTGAGGGTCGATCGGTTTGGAGACATGAGCATCTGGGAAGTGGTCAGTACAGTTCAACAAGCAAATAATCATTGTCCACATACCATTATACTCGTGCCATTCACCCGTCAAGAAATTCTTGGCATACGCCGTGTAATGTCCTCCGCCAAGACCACCGTAGTGGTTGTCCACGGCGAATAGATCGTAGATCAGGCTTTCACCGGGTTCGGGGGCCCTCACTCGACCGGTGAGATCCAACCCTTCGACGGGGAAGTCGACCAAGTCATCGATCTTATCCCTGAACCCGCGGTGGGCGCTGAATCTCTTGAGGTGAATGACCAGGATGTCCGGTGTCTTCCACAACTCGAACGTCTTGCTGGCCCGACGGTGCTCCTTGCAGCGCGGACAGTACCAGGCGTCGTTCTCCGACAGAATCTCCTCTCTGCCGAATTCATCGAGGCACTGATCCAAAGTGAGGCCCTTCTTCCTTCGGTTCTGCCGCATCTGCCGTTTCTTCGCGAGCTCGGGGTCCGGGAAGTGCTCCACGTTGGTCCAGGTAGGAGACCCACGGAGGGAATTCTTGTCTCTCGGGTCCGCTCCAAACAGCGCGTCGTGATTCTCCTCGCTCCAGTCGAGCACGATTCCTTCTCCAGGACGGATGAGAGGGGCGTCTTGGGGCTCGGGTTCGACGGCACCGTTGCGGGCCTTCTTGGAGTCGGAAAACATCCGGTTGGGGTAGATGTCGCCTCCGCTTTCCGAATCACTGTCAGCGTCCGACTCGTCCGACTCGTCACTTGTCCGAGGAACTCGCTTGTTGACCGGTTCGGGCTCGTCGTTCAGCTCATCATCGCTGCTGCTGACAGGGCTGTTGGGCCTCTCCCGCAAACGACTAGCCTTAGCCTTCTGAGCTACCGGCTTGCCAGCTGGCTTTCGCTGCAGTCGCGAGGATATCAAGGGGTAGTCCTTATTCTCTTCCAAAGAAGAGAAGCCAAGAGGAATAACTTCACTTCTCGACTTGACAATCTTCATTTGGAAGAGGTTCCGAAGCCTGCGTGGAATGGACTTCGCCGTGCTCTCCTTGGACGCATCTGAAGCATCGCGCATAGACACGTCCACTAGACCATCCTCGCCCTCCACAGAAGCGGTTTTGATCTTCGAGTCTGCAGACTCAGCGTCTTCTTCGTTCATGACGACGGTATCCGAGTCGGGACCCTCATCCTCGGCACTATCGGCATCATCCGTTTCATGCAGGATGTCACGGGTAGTCAAAGTGGCCACTGCAGAAAGCACCTTGCCAAAGATCGTGTCGTAGTCGCGTGCCTCTTCCCGGGTGAAGACGGCAAACAAAGGTGCTCCAAACACCTGTCGCGACCCGTACCGACTGCCTGGCCGGTTAACGCGGTTAAAGATCGGAACAAGAAGCCTGTCGGCCCTGGGAGAATCGATGCTGGGGATGTCCTCTGTGTCCATGTGGCTGAAGGAGAGCATGGAGAATGATTTCTTGGGCTTGTCCGGGTTGTAATTGGTCGGGACCGATTCCACCTCGAAGATACCAATGTCATCGCCCGGACCGATGTTGCTGTCGGCAATGGTGGCAGTGTTATCAAAGAGCTTGTAGAACTTGCTCTTGTAGATTTCAGCCATGATGAGTCTCTGGGGATCCGTGTTCATCTTCTTGGCAACATATTCCTTCAATGCTTTGATGCTCGAGTTCTTGTCGAGCTCGACATCCAAGAGGACTGGAGGCTTGTTATGAGGGAAATAGAAAATCTCCTTACTCCACAGGTTCTCGACGGGAAGCTGGAGAGTCAGGTTGTTGAAAGGGTCGAAGATGATGCTGACCTTGCTGCACACAGGGCAGACCAGGGTGGACTTGTACTGGCCCGCAAACAGATCAGTGATGACCGAATCATTGCGAGCCTTGTAAATGTCCCAGCACTTATTTGCAAACTCCTTCAAAGCCTCATGGTTGTGGACCATTTCGTCGGTGGAATCGGGCTTCTCAATGTACGGCTTCTTCTTGATCCGATTGAGATCCTCTTGCAGACCATCCAAAAGGAAGAGAAGGAATTCCTGAGAGTCCTGCTGCCCGTAGCCCGAGAACGCCGGCCCGTATCGCCCTATGGTATGTTTGAACTGCTTGGGGGAAAAGGATACCGGCCCTTCGTCGTATATGACGTGCAGCAAGTTTGCATAGGCACGAGCAACGTCTCCGTTGTGTGCCAATGGATTGTTGGGATTGAGGTCTTTCTTATAGCAATCATCTGCAGACAAACAACGTTAGCAATAGGATACACGAGTGAAAAAAAAAAAGAAGAACCATGGGAAACGTACTCAGGAAGTAGTATGTCAACTCCTCTACACTTCGCACACATTGAAGCGCCGAGTTCATGTAGCAGGTATTCCCGAGATTGCCAAAGCCGGTAATTCCCTTAGGTCTGCCATCCTTGCGTCTGCCCCGAGTGGTCTCAGGAACGGGTGAAGAACGCCCACTGACAGAGGGGGTCTTCGCCTTTGGCTTGGCGAGGCCGTTCTTGTTGTTACCAGGCGGGATGGAGAGGCGGCTGAGGGCCTGCTTGGAGGCTTCTGACACCCACTCTCCACCGCCAGGGCCCCCAATCTGCTCCTCTAAGACCACTACATCGTTGGCAGTCAGGCCGACCAGGTCCAGGGTCATGCTGCCGTTGTACTTTTCGTTGGCGGTCTGGTCTCGGGCGTCTTCCAGGAGCTCGCGTTGAGAGCCCTCAGCAAGCGAAACAAACGTGTTGACGTCCAGCACAAGGCTACTTCCAGCACTGGGGACCAGCGTGGCGCCGGGCGCAGGCGAACTGCTCCTCGAGGCGGCCGGGGTGATGACGCCGGACGTCTCCGTGCTGCTCAGACCACCCAGAATTTTCCAGACACGGACCCTGGTCTTCATGTCGATGTGAGCGAGTTCTTTCGCCTGCCGGAGCCACTTCTGGAAGTTGGTGTGCCGGCTGGCAAGGGTCTTCACAGGCGGGGAGCTCTTATCCTTCAGGGATTGGGTGGTGACGCCATTGGCGGGGTTGGAGAGCTTCAGGATCGTAAAGATAGGCGGGTTGATTTCGTACTGAATGTTTTCTTCGCCGCCGGCGGTGTTGGTGTTGTGGGCGTAGCGAACGATGGCGGGTGACTGTTCCGCTAAGCCGTACCACTTCATGATGAGATCCCATGCTTCCTGGGAGACAATCTCGAAGTCTTCGCCCATCTGTAGCCCGGGCCGCAGGGGCACAAAGGGCTCTCCGGCCTCATCTTTGAAGGACGTGGAGGGATCGGTGACCAGAACGAGGTCCGAGTTGTCGACCGGTCCGATCTCGCCCTCCATGGCACTTTTATCGATCACGCCGCCGCGGGGAGCTTGAGAACTCCGGGCCAACACTCGGTTGAGCCAGTTGGCAGAGACGACGTAACCCTTCTGCTTGTCCTGGAGCGGCTTGGCCATCAACGCCATCACCATTGCAACCTGCTCATCGATCGAGGGAACGGGCTCGGACGTCCCGGCCGCTTCGTGAGCCTTCGACGAACTCTCCCGGGTCGACGTCGAAGCGGTATATGTGGACATGCTCGAGGGCGTAGGATAGACGGTATCTGAGCCGGTTGAAGGGATGGCATCGTCACCACCACTACTCTTGGCCGTCTCCGCGTTCTCCTCGCTGCCGATCATGTCGACGGACGTGGCTCTACGCTGAGCCGGTCGGGAATCGGGCCCGCTCGACTGCTGTTCGGACGAACCTGTCTCCATCTCGACATCCTGGGACTGCTGCTCGTTGCCCGCTATCTCGGAGACACGGCGTTTGACGGCGGGCGAGGACGACCGGACTTCGCGTTGGCTCTGCTGGGGAGCGGCGGCGGAGGACTTGTCAGAGCTCGACATGTCGGGGACAGGGTCACTGTTCAGGGAGAGCCCAGCGCAAGCAGCAGACGGGGAATCTGCGTTGCCGGAGGGCTCTGGCGTTGGGGGGCGGGAAGCACCAGACTTGGATCCAGCGCCGAGCACTTCCTCCTGCAGATGCGCAGGGATGTAGCGCGGCGACGGCGAGGCGGAGGACCGCGAATCCAGATTCGACTCGGAGGGTGCCAGGGTGGGCGGAGGCAGTGGCAATGGGCGTTCAGGCGAGGGCGAGCCGTGATGACGGCGGTGGTGGTGCTGGAGGCCGTGACGTCTTTCGCCGGCGTCAGCGTGCCTGGCCCGCGAGGCAACAGACGGACTCGGAGTGGCTCCTGGACGGCGAGGCTCTTCGACAACCTTACGGCGCTTTGTGGAAGACGTCGTGAAGGTGAGCTGCACACGTCGCGTGGCAGCTCTGGACAGCACAATGGGAAGGATGGCGGAGGAAGCAGGCGAGCAGGGGAGGGGAAGTGGGAAAAAAAGCAGCAGGGCTCGGTAAAGCCGCCAGGCGATCCGGAGAGTCTGGGAGTGGTAATAGTGTAGACGAGGGACTGGTCTGTGGTCTGGGTTCACTCACTAACCAGCAGAACCGAACGGGGGCGCGGGTTGAGGAGACTAACTTGACTGTCTGGACGTGGTGTTGGTGGGGAGCAACGGCACGGCTGGTTGGCGCCTGCGCGCGGGCTGACCTCACCGTCAGCACTCAGCAGCGACGCTGTGGAGAGTCGACGCACGGCGACAACGCTGCAGTCGAGGCTTCGAGACGCAGAGAAGACGATCGAAGACGAGGTGACGACAGCAGACGGAGGACGAGCAGAGTCGTGGTCGAGAGACGAGACGCCGTTTATATACCGTGCCCAGCCAGCACAGCCATGGCCGGCCTGCGTCAAGTGAATAATAATAATGAATGCAGCGATCAGAAAGCGATGCAGCGGCTGGGCATGCCTCCAATTCCATTACTACCTGATACTCTTGATATCGTTTATTGTTCGCTGTGTTTCTGCCTGGGGGCCATTGTGTCTGCTATCCTGCAACGCGCCGTCTACTCGTCTCCTTCACTGTGCTACTATTAATAAATAATTTGCCATTCCTGTTTGCCATTTGAGTGACTGTTTAATTCACTTGGTACGGAGTATTCTGTTTGGAAAATGAAAAAATAAAATTTTTTAACGCAGCGTTAGATCGCTGTGACCCGATCCACTCCGTCTGCCTTAGCCTGTTTCCTTCCCTTGGCTCGTCGACGTCATCTCCGCAGGGCGGGATCCGACGGCGAGGAGTGTCTTGCCCATGTACTGTACCTTGCTACTGATACGACAACACTGCAATCTGCATCCATGTAATCAACTGGCATTAACGTGACATCCATCAGAGGTAATACAACAGTGCCTAAACCTATACAGACTCGACATCAAGCCCACATCATGTCGTAAGCAATGAAATACCCATCAAGGTAGACCGGCAATCTCCGCTGAGAATGTCTTGGTCTAACGGGCCACGATCTTGTTCACCTCTTCCTTCGCCTCTGTCCACGTCTCCAGATTCTTACGGGCCCAATCGAGGTGGCAGCGGGCATACGCGACCTGTGTGCAAGGACATGCATCCGTCAGCGCATGGACGGGTGAACTTTGGATTCTGCAGACTTACCATATACCGGCGGAGGTCTTCCTCCTTCTCTTTCTGAAATCTCTTTAGATCCTGGAGCACGCCAGCACTGGCATCCTTGACGTCTTTCTCGGAAACCTGCAGCGCTTGTTCCAGCTGCGGAAGGTGTCAGCGTGCTGCATCCTCTTCGGGGACCCGGAAGACACTTACCTGTATCAAACTCTCCTTCGTCTTTCCGATCTGGTCTCGACGCGTTCTCTCCGGGTCGACATCGACGAAGCCATGCACTGCATGACTGATGCGTCCAAAAATCTTATTCGTAACAAAATTACCGCTAGCGCTCTTGCGGTGCACTGGAGGAGATGGCCCCTCGGGCCTCTGGGGAGTCCCTTGAGAGGCCGATGGAACGGCATCACTGTGCGTCGGCGGGAAATCCGAGTCAATCGATGCCGTGTCCTCTGCACCTCCCCGATGAGGTTCGCGTTCGCGATCGTGCCCGCTGCTAGTTGCTGACGACGCAGACATTGATCTTGGTTTCGTTGCTACCGATGGGGATGCTGTGCTGTTGAGGTATTGTTCGATACGCTTCGCTTCCTGCTCACTTCTCTCCAGTGACTCCAGCAGAGCCTTCTTCTTGGACAGCTCTTCCCGTGTCATCTCTTCCTGCACACGCTTGAGCACTCGGTATCGCAGCACGCTGCGGACGACACTGGCAAACTGGGCGCTTTCCCTCATGGGCTCTGCAAAACTGGCACCTAAGGAGGACGACAATTCCTCCGTTTCGATATATGATGTATCTGCAGCCTGGCCGATCCGTTCGATCGCTGCAGCTACTGTTGGAGATTGCTCTGATAGGGAAAACCCATTATACCTCGCGCCCAGCTCCATCAGATCCGCGGAGAGCGACGACAAATGGGCCAGGGTGCGCCGATTGACTTTCTCGATATTGCCCTGAAGGAGCAGCTCCAGTTCGCGCGTAGACGCTTCAAAGTTGATGAAATAAGGATCTAGATCCTGTTCACTCAATGTGCGAGAGGTGGGAGGAAATCGACCAAGTATCTGGGTTGTGTTCGCTGGATCCGACGGCGATGTTGCCGTCATCGCTGCTGTCGACTTGAGTTTCGCAGACGAGGAGGGGACGGGAAGCCAGGCATGTGCTGGGGTTGGGTTGGCAGGGTCGAGCGGAGGTGCCTTAAGGTTATTCTTGGGCACAGACGATGCGGGATGGGAATGTAGTACTTCGCTCTGCAGGTCGTGTCAGAAGCGTTCTTCCAGATGTATACGGCGTGACCTTCGTTGTGCACTCATTACTTACCCAGCTAACGTTGGGATCCAAGAATCTCCACCATACACCGTCCTCCCGAACCTCCTTCATCTTGCGACATCGGTTAAGAAACACGGCCAACATGCGCTTCCTGAGTTCAATAATCGCCGTGTCCTCTTTCGCCTTGGTCGGTTTCGCTGCATAATCTGCCATGGTGTGCTTTTCTGGTATCGGGGGGATGACGAGCGTTGGGTGGAGATTGACGAGGGTCTGTCGCAAGGAAGCGAATTCCGAATAACGCCGGCGCACCTCGATATCCTAACAAAACCAGTTAAAAAGAAAGCTCGATCTTGTAGAATCCAGATTCTGTCTGCTTACTCCCGTCCGGATTGTATATACAATGAAGCTCCCTCCGCCTTCGTGGTTCTTCCCCGCATCGACGATTAAGATCGGCAGATCCGGGTTCTCGTACAGGATCTGCTCTATGCGACTGTCGTACACACCTCGTTTGCGGCTGGATAGAGCGCCCTGTCGAGCGCCATAGCTATTATCTTCCTCTTCGTCTTCTGTATCAGGTTGTCGCGATACATAGTCCGGCGGGCCTCGACTGGAGGATCGTGATGATGGGGGCGTAGATTCTCGGTCATAGGGAGCTTGGGACATCGGTCAGCGCAACGGGCAGACGCACTTCATCTGCGATAATACTTACAGGGCGACACAGCAGAATGTAATGAATCGGTCAGATGGGGATCTGGGCGGTCGAATGCGCCGTACGGGTTGTTATCTTCGTCGTTCCACATGGTGCCTGGAGGGGATTCCTTGGACGGCAGCCTGATCGGGATCTCCTCAGCAAAGCCAGGGCGCGATGGTCATGAGGAGGGAGATAGCATCCATATATGGTTATGTATCTCTTGGATAGCCTGTATACAATCGATTTCAGCCGCTAGACGATGAGCACTGGGCCGGAAGCGTCAGGGACCGAGGGGGCTGGGGAAGCTCCATCGTTATGAGCCGATTCCGCGGGGCGCCTCACGTCACCGCCACAGTTGGCAGATCTGCGGCTGCCTGAGGTGTCTGCAGACACGCCAGGCAGAAATCATCTCCAGGTATAGAAATACAACATCTTGGGATGAATTCCGAGAAAGTACATCCAGATTGGTTAAAAAAAAACCATGAGTATATTTTCGCTCTTCTTTTCCTGGAAAATATTTACTACGCAGGTCCATCGCATTAATTTTCTCGAAGCATAATTAGTGTACCTTAAAGCCTTTTTTACTGTTTACAAGAGAAAAAGTAGTCAAGAAAAGACACAGACATAAAAGTCTGGATTCATCAAGAAAAGAAGACTAAAAGATGACGAATTAACATTTCTCTTTCCTGAAACATACTTGGTAACGTTAAGGATGTTTCCGTTCCATCCCAAAGCCAGAAAGATAATTTGATCGTTCATCTGAGAATAAAGACATGTCTGTAGTGTTGTGACCATGACTACAAAGAAAGAATAGCTGTGTTAGTGAACGGTCCAGTGGAAAGACGATGAAGTAATGTAGATCAAAAAAGGGAGTAGTGACAAGTGATGGAGCTTACCTGGCGCTTTCTTTATCGAGAAACATGGATTTCCTTCAAAGCATGACTCTCTCCCCCAGTTTGCGGCGACAAATCAACCGTCTCCCTTTGCTTTAACACCACCTGTGTATCGTTAGTAAAGAACAAACTGGTTAAGGACATGTCCAGAAGCTATATAATCTATAATACATACCTGATTCAGGTACTCCAGGGTCCATAGCAGTCGTAGTTCGAGCAAAGAAGAAACACCCCAGATATACCTCCTAGGCATGAATGTACCTAGTGCTGAGGCACAACAGCAGGCGGGGGGAGAGCAATTGAAGGCGCAGTAATCGTTGGCATTGGCACACCAACAGCTTGCGGGGATTGGAACGATGATTGAGATTGGATAGAGTGGTCATCATGTCCAACCTGATAAACCTGATTTGGTGTGCGCTTTTGGATCTGCTTTTTGCCATAGTAGCGAAACCCTAGCCATGCACCAATTACAACAACAGCAAAGCATGGGAGAAATATAAGAACTACATCAGCAGGTCCTGGTAATCCTGATGCCATTGTTGTATCAATTCTGTCCTGTGTAATTGCTGAGAGGTGGTAGGATGCCTTCTTCAGCATAGAGATGTTAGGATTTCCGGTCATATAACGATATCACAGGATCTGTAGAACGTACCTGGATATTCTCTGAAGCTTGCAGGATGCAGATAGAGTATTAATGTCTAAAGGATAGACAAGTGTAAGAAGTAAACTGTGTAGACGCGAGTGTAAGAGAAAGAGAAAGTGGCGATATCTCTTAAGTATGGATGAAAGCAAATCAGTCAGTCACGGTCAAATCGCGCTAGAGACGCGCTTGTCCCAGCAGGTTGTAGGGCAAACAGCACCCAGTGACTTGTTTTGGGTCCAGTGTGAATGTGGGCGCGCTAGAGGGGGTTTCACTTTGGGGAAATGTCTTCAGTTCATTCACGTGCATGTCTATACTAGCGTCTATTTCTGTTCATACTTCACTAGATATCTCTCTATATATCGCTGAAGGAAATACTCTATGCCAGAGAGCGAACAGATTCGATCCTTGTGAGCCAGTGAGGATGCAACGAGACTGCTCGACCTTTCTCGAGCAATAGCCCAAGCTTGTCTAATATGGTCACCTTGGCATTGGGCAGATGGGACTCGACGGCCAAGTCTCTTGATACGAACAGCGCTGCGGTGCTGAAAACCTGGATACCCAGAGTGTAGACCTCAGGTTTAGACGTCCACCCAAGCACGCCATCTTGATCGCCCGCAGACGTTACATCTACGAGGTATTCCAGACCCTCTGATACCCATTCAAAGAGAGTCCTAAGCAGCCTCTGGTCATATGAATCCTTCTCTAATCTCAACAGAACCCCGCTCCAAATGTCGACTTCACGAACATCGTCGATAAACAAGTTCTGTCTCTCCTCTTCGAAAAGGACGGTGCTTTCTTTCCTGTACTCCGACATGCGAGCCGAAACGGGAATGAGCCCTTTCTTGCTTCTCGAGTTCCAGCGATGGCTCTCCTCGCCAAGAAGACGTTCGACAGTTTCGCGGAACAAGAACGGAGACTTGGAGTAGTTGTTGGCAAGGAAATCCGCGAGACGGTCACTCGCTGGAAGGGCACCCAAGACGACGGCCTTTTCTGGAGACACGGACGAGTATGACAGGACCCATGAGGCTACTGTCGCGGCAATATCACGAAGTTCCTCATCGTCGTCGTTGAGCATGTCATAGAGAATCAGGTAGATTTCCAAGAAGACAGGGCTCGTTTCGGCCATCCCACCTGGTTTTCGCAGAACACGGCCAAATGTCTTCAAAGACATTACAGCTGCGTATCTCGTCGAGAATACCTAACGCTCATCAGAACAGGCTACGCAAGGAGTGGGTATATTTCATATACTTACAGTTTCTTCACTCAATGCAAAGCGAAGACTGATGGCCCATCGACGAAGATCGAGCACGAGATTCCTAGAAGACTCCAGTTCGCTTGTAGGGATGGCACACTGAATAGTCATTAGACAGCCTTGAAGCCGCAAAACGCTTTCAACTATTTCCCTGCTCCAAGTCTGTTCCCGAGACTGAGAACGTATGTAATCTCCTAACCTGGCCCATTCGTCAGGGAGGTCCAGCGTCAGGCCTTTCTCCAGAGCATTCTCAAGTATTTTGGCAAGATTCAGAGCTGCGACTGTCTTGACGTCTTCCCGGTTGTCTCCCAAGATGGTCGACAAGTATAGCCCCAGGAACTGCTTCTGATATGTCTCGCAGCCATCGAATATAGTATCTATTTGTCGCAAAACCCAGCATGCGGCATCAGCATCGGCTGCAGAAACACTGAAGAAAATATCGGACAACCGGGAAGATAAATCTGAATTCTGTTCGATCATTATCTTTAATATCATGCTCCATGCCAGTGAGCGTCGGAGCAGTGACGCTGCTCGTGCTTCGCTGCCAGTCCCTGCTGATACTTCGGACTGCTCCACAAGACTGTACAGGAGTGTTTCGAGATCATACAATCCGAACACGTTGTTTAAGAAGTCGATAGTTTCACCTTATACAGATAAGCAGATGTTGTTGATGAGGATTCTAGAGCTGTCCCTACCTGTTTTCCCAAATTGGATGCTCTTCTCAAGAGCATCTGTTAAGATGTCTATCATAGCAGCATGAACAAAGGGGGAGCATGCATCCATGAAGAACTTGGAGAAGGTATCTTGAATGATTGACAGCATTTCTCCATAGTGATCTGGCAGCGATTAGTATTGGCCATCAATGAAGTTGCACGAAATACATACCACGCCAATAACCATGAGAGGAGAACCACAACCGCCGCAAAGCAAACCTAATGCATAAGAGCTTCCCATGTGCATAGTTCTGAGAAGCAATGTTCACGTTGTCTCTCAGGAGAGAGTGGACCTCATCCAGAATGTGGATCGGGCGCAAAAGAGAGGCGTATACCCTTGCTGCCTGATCACGAACAGCCCAGATCATGCTCTTCATCTGCTGTAGCACTAGCTTCCGCAGGTGAGCATCATCGTCACCTGAAGGTGAAGGGGCTTTTTCTATTATGAGTTCCAGCGCTGGGAAGACCCGTTCAGTCTCTGTTGAAGCCTTCCCATCTTGCGAATCCTGACTCTGGTCTGCCGAAGTCAGGAGCTTGGAGAGCAGCTGAAGCAAGCCAGGATATTTCTGAAAGTGAATTCTCATGCCGGCATCGGAGCCTGAAGCGCCGCTGAATCCAACGGTGGTCCCCGGAAGGAGCCGACACATCTTCATCATCAAAGCGCGGAAGAGCATCAGGCCGCAGTTTCGAATAGCCCAGCTTGGATTATCATTAGTTTAGATATACGGCAATCAAGAAAGCTGTTCCGCAACTTACATTGAAGAGCTGAGAGATTCAGCAGCTATCGTCAGGGAAGGCATAATAAAAGGCTCTGTGTGCGGTGAGAGTCTTGTGTTGTCAAAGATGTCCTTCAGACAATTCATCGCATGAACCTGTGGCAGCCACAATTCTGTATAACTGGCCTTCTGCTCTGCTGGCTGTCTTGCGATCTCCTGAAGTTCAGACATCGCCCGTTGGAATAACGGCCCTCCCGGGTCTGCACAGAGGATTCCAGTAACTAAGGCAGGCAAGCCTGCAGATCGTCGGGTGAGCTTTGATGCTTGCTTTTCGATGATCTTCACCGATTCCTGGATATCGTTAGCCCTATGCTGCGTCGAAAAAATAGGAGATACTTACTTGGTACCACAGTTCTGGCAAACTGGAGATTGTTGGATTACTACTTTGACCGCAACGCAGACAACAAGTCGCAAAAGTTTGTGAGACCGCAGTGAAAGCTCCTCTGTGGCGTAGCTCTGAGAGCTGGATAAAACTCAACACCCCTATTGCTTCGTAATCTGACCTTTGAAGACCGGTTTCGCCATCAGTTGGGCCATATGTCACATTCGAAACAATGGCATGAAGCAAAAGACTTGTACAATTAGTGGGAGATGTTGTGCTTATATCTTTTAAGAGCATCATACCTGGACTCTTTCAAGGCCCGCCATGAGTAAGACAGGATGTCTTTCGGCCCAACCATCAAATTATCCGTAGCTTCGTCGGTGTGCCCTTCAGGTGAGTCGATGCAAAGGACTGGTTTAACCTCATTCCAGATCTTATTGCAGGCCGTTATTATACGGTTGTGCACGTCTCTCCATGCTGTATGCGGCGTCTCAGGTGAATCGGCAATCGATAAGTAGAAATCGGGTGTTGAGACAATGTATCTAATAGGCAATCTGTTAGATTCAAGGTCTAAACGTTCCTGGGTCAACTGACCTCAGTGCGGAGACATAGCCGTGGAGAGGCGCATCACGTATTGTCGAGCTGAAAAGCCCTCCGGGCTGGGATAGCTTCCTGTCGAGTTTCTCTAATATGGTGTTCACGATTTCTCTTTTACTCTCATACCATGGGGTTTCAGAAGACTGCTTGCGCCCTGGGCTTGCCAAAGAGAAAATAGCATGGTAGAGTCGAGCAACTGTGTCCGCATGATCGGCTCTACTGGTGTTGCTTGCCAGAGCCTCTGCTTTTGATAGACCAACCGTCAGTCGCTCAGATATTCCGGCCAACTCGCTTGCTGAGAGGTCAGAATACTGCGCAGAATAGTCACTGGGGAAATGGCCGAGAATAGTTAGCGCCATTGCGCGAACTTCCTCAAAGGGATCCAGCAGAAGGTCGACCAAAAGCCTGAAGAGACTAGGACGTAAGATATCAAGGGTGAATCTCCATGGCGTCTGATCAGCGTCAGCCTTCTGCACTTTCACCCCTTTGACGCGAGGATCAACACTGGTGTTGAGAACAAGATATAGTGATTTAAGTGCAGATATATGTCGTTGATATGAAGCGCCGGGCCTCAACTCTCCTTCTAGGAATTTCACAAAGGCATCCAAGAAACGCTCTGCATCTTTTATTTCATTATCAGAGCCCTGTCGATGTCCTTGTGTCCCCCTGAGGCGCACCATGAGCTTGCGAATCAAACTCAATATCTCGCCTCTTGACTGTGCGTCCGACTCCGCATGGAGAGATGGCAAGCCACTCATGACGGCCTTCAGCGCCGCTGGCGTTATTGGTTTCGTCGTAGAAGGCGCTGTGATTAGCAAGGAGAAACAGGCAACCCTAATTCTCGGATCTGTATGCAGCAGAAACTGCCCGAGAACTTCGCTCCTTAAAATGAGAGCGTCTTGCTTGTCTTTCGCTGCTGAACTCGGTTTTCCAACAAAATCTGCCAGGATCAATCAGCTAAGGATATTGAACTTTGATATTTTATATGACTTACGATCTTCATGTACTAATCCAAGCTTTTTGGCAACCTGCAAGGCAGAAAAGAGCAACGTGAACTCATCTACGCTTCCTTCGTCCTTCATGTCACCGGAAAGCAAGCTCTGGAAGGGAAGCTGGTTAATAAAGGAGCGAAATCCGCCAGAGCAAGAAGCAAACAACGGATATAGCACGTTGTTTGACATTGACTCTAAAAATTCCATGTTCTCCAGCATGATATGACGCGTCGGAGAAACCCAGCTCATTGAGGGAGACGCGAGTTCAAAGGAAGGAGCCTGCCCACTTTCAACCTCCTGGCTTGCTTTTCGAGAGAAGAGAGCCAGCATAGAGCCAGCGGTTGAGGCGTACCCCAAGCTTTTTGCATGAAGCAGTAGGGACAAGTTGAAGACCATCAAGACATCACGCTTAACCTTTACGTCGGAGTCGTGCCATGTGGGGTTCTGACCAACAAAGTGAGTGGTATCTATAGATAAGCACTCGCAGTGGCTCTCAAATAAGGGCATCCATCGACCATAATGTTCCACGAGCCAGTCATGCAACAAAGACATCAGCTGAGAGGGAGAGATTGCATTCTCCCGTACAAAAAGCTCCAGTGCGACGAGGCTAGATTTCAGTCGTGACCGTGGATCTCCAAGCACAACACTAGGCATTATCGCATTGACAGCCCCGATTCGAATCAGGTCAGCTTCTTTCTCATCGGGATGTTTCCTGAGGATCTTGACCAAACAACTTAAAACTTGTTTCATGGGCTTTGGTCCGGCATCCTCAAACCGGATCATGCAGACTTCGAAAATAGTCATCCATGTTTGATGGGACAGCACAATGTGCCGTGTATGGGCATTTGTAGATGACAGACCTGCATCTAGGAACACACTGACAGCGTTGCATGCCGCTGTCGTCTGGGACCGCGGAATAGACCTCGTCGAAAAGGTCTGCAGCAATGATTGCCACACACAGTCTACCTGCCTTGACCAAGATCAGATGTTTTACTTCGCAGGTATTATAGGGTCTATGGTATCTTACTGATTATCTTTGCATTCACGAGTGAATTTCAGAAGCGGTCCCTTAGTGATCTGCAACAAAATGTCCTCGGGCACCAGTTGTATATTTTCTAAAATCGTGTTCATGCCCGCCCACTCGGCGTCCCCCGCAGGGCTGCAAGCTGTTGGGTCTGCCATCATAACACAAGAGGATCCTTTCCTGAAACTCAAGAAATGTTCAGGAAAAAGATCCCATATCTGACGTATTCTTCTGATTCTTTGCTACATGGACCCCGCAAAGTCGAGGGTTCTTGTAGAAATTTCAGGACGGATGCCCGATTCGGCTAGTATCGGCACAACACTTTTTCCGATCGGGCGCTCCCTTGCCGTCGCGGGAAAGAAGTTTTTGTCTGGCCGACTTCGAGAGCGACCTCGGGTCTGCTTTCTATACTCAACGGACGCGATCACCCAGCAGTCTCCGGTCAAATTCGCTGCCTTCTCCTTTCCTATCTTTTTCCCTTCTTCTTCGCGGTTGTTTCTTTTTCCAAAATGTCGATCTGGGATACCTTAAGCGGTCGCAAATCATCTACGAGCCAACAACAACAGCAACAAACCTTTGATCCCACGACGGCTCAAGATGTATCATCTTTCCTCGGAGGAAATGCACTCCCCGATCCCTCAGAACTCCACCCTCTCGCGGGTCTGAATAAGGAGACCCTGGACTACCTCACTCTCGAGGACTCCGCACTTGACACTCTCCCGGGATCGCGATCAGTTTTGCCATCGAGGGGCTGGTCGGACGACCTCTGCTATGGAACTGGCACGACGTACCTCACGGCGTTGACAATTGGAGGAGCATGGGGACTGGCTGAGGGCCTCAAGAAGACGCCGCCCACAGCACCGCCGAAACTGCGTCTGAACAGCGTTCTGAACTCCATCACCAGGAGAGGTCCGTTCTTGGGCAACTCCGCAGGCGTGGTAGCCATGATTTATAACTGCATCAATTCGTCGATCGGCTACGCGCGTGGAAAGCATGATGCGGCGAACAGTATTGTGGCGGGCGCTCTGAGTGGAATGCTCTTTAAGAGCACTAGAGGGGTCAAGCCTATGATGATTTCGGGCGGTATCGTGGCTAGTATTGCCGGGCTTTGGGCTGTATGCTCACCCTTCTCCCACCTCTTTTATCTCTTGAGCCAGAAAAATATGTTAACCGAGTTATAGGTGACGAGAAAGGTTCTGTTCTCATAACCGCGAAATCGATCGCTCTTCCCGACTTGAAAACGCCAATCCTAATCACCACCAGACGACGACAAAAAACTCATTTCTCATATTCAACTCCAGTGGAGTGGCGGATATATCCCTGCACTTTATATTTTTCCCACTGTATTAGAACAACATCCTTTGATTGCTCTATGGATCTCTTCACTCCGGCGCTCAGGGCATCGTCTTTCGCATTGTCTCATGGGTTTGGCACCGGGCATGATCATGGATCTTTTTCTCCCTTGTACTGTACATATAGAGACGTTCTCCGGTTTCTTGGATTTCTTCCAGCGGCTGTTTGCGGTAGCATTGGCGATGTCGCGTTGGTACTACTAGATAATATGCGTGTTTGCAAATGAGAACATACTTGCAGAGGTTCGAGAATTCCGGATAGTGACTGTTCCAACTCATAGACTGAAATAGCAGTATTTGTACATGATGTTCGAGACTGGACATACTGTTCTTATTGCTGAGAAGCTTTGACAATATTAAACGCAGAGGTTAGTTCTAAGCAAACTTCTCAGACATGCTAACGATTGATGCTTTTGATATGGGCTGATCTATTAGCCACTCTTATGGTGAGGATAGCAGCAACACTTGTTCTGCAATTGAATTAGTCTCGCTCTGCCTGATTTCTCTGCGGATCAATTCGGTAGTAGATATTGAAAGACAAGGAAGACAACCAATGTTCTGGTCTATGGATGCCTTCCATTGTCTCTATTATGGTTTGATCTGATCCATAGCGGCTTTCTTCCACGGACAGGGCGGAATTTCCCAGGGGACTGGCAGATACTCCTACTCCCCAGGTAGGTACCGTAGTAGGCAATGAGGCTTATGTGATACGCATGAATAGATAGTGATATTAGTGAAATACAGGTCGCTTGTTAGCTAAGGAGCTCGACTTTTCATGTTGTATTTTTTTCTTTCTGGGATTGACCGCCTCCTGGAAGCATTACCTATCGGGTGTTGTCACCTGAAATGGAGTTGCAGTCACTTTCCTGTATGGAGGGAAGAAATACACGCATTGTGTCGCGTGTTTATTGGTGTTTGAGACCACCTGACTTCACTCTGCTCCCAGCAGATGCCTATTCTTCCACTCTCTACATGACCGTATCGCAAACTTACCTCTGCCTAGAACGCATGGTCTTCAAATAAAAGAAAAGTCGCGCAAGCTTCCTGCTGATGAATCATGGCAGATTCAATGCTTTCTCAGCTGTCTTGCTCCCCACCTCGGGCAGGGACACCACCCCGCGTAGCCACTGTGGAGGACATGCTCGAATGGCTGCGCTGGGACGGTTGGTATCGCGGCATCGTCGGCTGGTGTACTGAGTATTCAGACACGGAACTATTCAGCCCACGTGAAGCTGAACGCGACGGTAGCAGTAGATTTGCTGCGTTCTACTCGCCTGGATCCTGGAAACCTCCGCAGCGCGACTTCGACCTCAATGCCGGATTACGGGAGGCATCGTACATGGAGGAACACGAGAAATTTGTTCGACGTATGATCGAGTCGCACAAGAAGCTGCTTGTCGAGGCCATCGAGGAAGTTGATCGTCGACTGGTACAAGCGGGGCTGAGTGTTGAACAGAACGAGAATGCGGATAAGAGGGCCAGCTCTGTTTATGCAAAGTTGCAACGGTTGGAAGAGGCCAAGAGAAAACGGCGTCCAGATCCAAGAGTTCGAGTTCAGGTCATCTGTCATGCAGGAAACGCTGACACTGGTTATGAGCCAGTGACGCTGGACCTGTACATCCCGAAAACCTGTGTCTTTGAGGAGTTTGAAGAGATACTGGAAAGGCATGCACACATTCATGGCTTAGCAAACTGTACAAAGATCTCAACATACTGACTGGACTTTCCTGGCAGACACTTGCCACACAAGTGGACTGAACACGAGCTGCGCCCAATCAATGGGGAGAACCCAGGACAGGAACGTATCTGGAATTATCGAGTTATTGGCAAGAATGACCACATAATGAGTCTGAGGGAAGGTTCCTGGCATGCTCTCAGAAGCCAAGAGGACTTCACAATGTTAATGAGAGAAATCGTGCGAGATAGCTCGAAACTGGCGGTAATTTGCCACGTATGTCACATGCTCCTTCCTTCCTGCAATTCATATTCCCATTTATTTGAAAAAGATGCAACGTGGAAACCACTGAATATAGATTTGTAGGAGACCGATCTTCAGCAACGGCGGAACCTCACCGCACCAGAACAATGGAAAGACGTGACCCCCGACGACATGTGGAAGGCATTGGGCTTGGACCACAGTACCCAGTGGAATGAGGATGAGCAGATCAAATGGGGTTCGGAGGCGTCAGACAGTCTAATGGATCTTGTGGATAATCTCCCTGACGATCTCTTTTGAATCGCAATGCCAAAATGGACATGTCGATGCTGTCGCTGCAAGAGATCTAAGACAAAGGGCGCTAAAACCAAGTTAAAGGCTGCTACAATGCAGGAGACTAGCCAATGATGCGAGGAAAATAACCGTCAGAAGGTCCACTAGCAGACTTATGCTGTGCCATCGCTTTGTTCTGTATCCAGGGCAGATGAAATTACACATGAGACATATTTTTTTCCAATTCACTTTACGTATGATGTCGTATCCCAATGCCTTGTAGGAGATTGTCTCTAATTATCATTAGAACTCATGAGAGCAGTGTGTCAGTACGGAGTACCTATCGCTACTTAGTAGACGTGCAACGGCGTAGATGTAAGGGCGGAATTCGAGAAGACGCTAGCTGAGCTAATCGACCCATAGAGTCTTGGCATGCAAAAGCCGTGCATAAGGCCACACAGTGGATATCGATAAGAATAGAAGCACTTGAAAATCCTCCCTGTCAATCACCCGTTTTGGCAGATTAATGAGACCAAGCAAAGAGCAGTCTGTCTGTCCACGCGCTTCCAGTCCTCCACTTCGACGCCGTCTGTCTTCAATCGCGTCCTCTCGAGCGACCTGGCAGGGCGGCATCTGCGGGCCTCTTGGCAGGCGCGTTGGAGATCACTGCGCTATTACGAAAGAGGCTTGGTGTGGGGTCCTGTAGGCCCAGTCAGCTGATGGCTGAACGCCGAGTCCGCCAGTCTGGAGGCCGCCACGTGACTGCAGGCTCCGCTTCCGGGGAGGTCTGGGGGCGGGATTGCCGAACGAGGCAAGGCGACGGAACTGTCCTGCTGCAACGCTGCCTCAGGCATCCACGATCCCCAGCCCGCGCCGGCCTGCGTTCCTGCCAGCCGATCGCCCCTCGATCGGCGTCACTGTCGCATTGTTCTCTCCTTTAATCTCAAAGCCACCGTCTGCTTCCGCGCAGTTGGGCGCTGCCACCCGGGCACTCCTTTTATTTGATCCCGTGCTTGGTGCACTTCTGGGGCTGTGAATATTTTCCTTACTAACACGGCCTTTTTTCCCTCCGTCCAGCGAGCCCCTCCGGCGGAAATTTTTATAGAGAAGCCAGTGCCAAGACCATTGTTGCCTCCGCGGTTCTTCCCTCCATTGGAAGCTGCCGTGTTCCCACGGTTGACCACCACGTCCGTGGCTGGTTGTCTGCCATCTGCTGGACGTCGATGGTTCCCTCAGAGCCTCGTCAGACCGCAGGGTCCGAGTCCCCTGCCCGGCAGCCACGTTCCGTTCCGGCCACGGAATCGGCAGTCGTGGGTGACGATGGGCGGAATTCTTCTCCAACACTGGTCGAGCCCGGCACAGAGCCGTTCCCAATATGCAACGTATCACAGACGGCGAACGTTATGACATCGTCAGTTCACGATGCAACGAAGCCGCGGGCTCGAGGTGAGCAGTTTCCAGTGCTCCATATTCGTACAGACTTGCCTGCGGCGGCTCGTCCGGTTACCCCCCTCAATGAGACCGAATCTCCTCTCCGTCACAGCCTGTCTACGGTCAGTCTCCCTCGGAGGACCCCAAGCTGCCGCGCGACGCGATTAGGGACTCTCTCGAGCACCGAGTCCCTGTCTCCTGCCTCAATCATTTCGTCTCCGCAGCTGGCTGCCATGGGCGATATCACACCCCTGCCGTCCCCAATCGCATATCACAGTTCATCTCCCTGGCGCATCCGTGGTCGTACAGCGTCTCAATCACTTTCAAGAACGTCCTCGACGATATCCAGAAGCGGCTCGTCTCTGAATTTAAAGACCAGTGACTCTTCGCAAGTCCCCCGGTCGTCTGCGTCCAGGTCGCGATCCAGACCGCAACATGGCCCTAGTCGCGTGGATGAGGATACTGTACAGGAGGACAGTGCTGGAAATAAAAAGACTAGCCGGCATACGCGGAATCGCAGTCTCAGCGAGTATGTCCCCACCAAAGCTGTTGTGCCTCCTCCACGCTCCGGCGCGGTGCCGGGATCCGGACCTCCCAAAACGACACCCTCCTCTAGCGATCTGTTGGCGCCGTCGACGACTTTGCATCGCGAACAGTACCTGGCTGTTCAACGAGGGCTTGCATTTCCATCCGCCCGGCCCCCAACCCCACCTCGCAGTTCACGTAGTGGTGACGAAGACGGGAATACTGTTCCTATCATCAGTAGTGCCCCCTCGACAGGGACTCCTGAAGAAATCTATTCTGTGCGATCCATTCGGACGAAGCAGCCTCGAAAGTACCGCAAGTTGCGTCAGTTGGGCCAGGGAACCTTTAGTCAAGTTAGCCTTGCAGTTCGAATAGGAGACGACGAGACAGATAATGCCTCGCATGACACTGAGGGAACGCATCGCAGAACTACCAGTAAAGTGCCGCAGAAGCTAGTTGCAGTCAAGATCATTGAATACGGTCCCGCCGGCGGAGCCGATGAGGACCGCGTAGAGGTCTCACTGAAGCGCGAAGTGGATATTCTCAAGTCCATCAATCATCCATCTCTGGTGCAACTGAAAGCTTTCGGAAGTGATGAGAAGCGCGCGTTGTTGGTTCTTGACTATTGTCCCGGCGGGGATCTCTTCGAGTTTGCGACATCTGGAGTGAAGCCGTTGAGTCCCGACCTTATTAGGAGGATCTTTGCCGAACTCGTGGCCGCTGTGCGCTACCTGCATGCCAACTATATTGTTCATCGAGATATCAAACTCGAGAGTAAGTCGTCTTGTCTGGGTTCTGAGTCTCAGGTCGTTGATGCTGACTGCTTTGTAGACGTGTTGGTCAACCCGCCTTTGTCAGTCATGCAAGAAGTGACTGATTGGCGCACGTATGACCGTGCAGTTGTCACCCTCAGTGATCTAGGACTGTCAAGAAGGATCCCTGAGCCGCCAGAAAGCCCACTGCTCCACACACGATGTGGCAGTGAGGACTACGCAGCTCCAGAAATTCTGATGGGCCAGCCATACGACGGCCGTGCCACAGACGCCTGGGCACTCGGCGTGCTCCTCTATGCCATGATGGAGAACCGGTTGCCCTTTGATGCTCTGCCAGGAACAAGAGGTGACCCAGCCAAGCTGCGTGCCCGCACGCCACACCGGATCGCACGATGCGAATGGTCCTGGTATCGATATGCGGATGAAGATGGGGAGTGGGATCCCGAGAAAGGAAAAGACCTGGAAGGGGCTCGAGAATGTGTCGAGGCGCTTCTGAAGCGGAATACAAAACGAAAAAGTCTGGATGAGATTGCAAAGCTCAGCTATGTCCACGACGCAATCGATGTGCCGAATGGACTCAAGAGGGGGGACAAGGAGGTTCCATGAACGATGCCGCTTGCTATGCATTGTCCTTATTTGCATGTCCTTTGAGCCTATGTTGCATCATGAACTGTATTATACCACCCCCTATGCTGTGATGTCTCTTGATGATCGTTCATGTTATGTTCCCTATTGATGTATCTTCACGTCTTGTATGTCAGCTGGTTAGTTAGAGCTGCATGAGTCGCATTCAGTCTCTTGCTGGCAGTGAGACTGAGCCTAGAGATGGGAATCTGAAAAGTGAAAAGTCATGAATAACCCTTCCCTTAGGGTTTCTTTCTAGCTGGGCTTTTTTCTACTCGAGAGGCACACAGATCGGGGACGTCCAGCTCCTCTGCATTTGCACTGTGCAGCAGCAATAGCGCAAATCTGCTGGATATAGAGCAGAAGGATGTCAAAAAGGTGGATTGGCATTATGTGTGCAATTACTACCATAGCTGTGGTTCTGCGTCGTCATCAAGGGAGTTGGCGCGCTCGATGCACTGCTCGTGGCTGACTTTGGGCGCCCTCGGATTGGCTGGCCCGGGGAGCAGCGCGACCTTTCCGATGTCGCTGCGGAGCAGACTAAGCGTCATTGAACTATCGGAGCCCCAAAAATCGCATACTATTATGCACCGCAATACCTTTCCCCTCTAGTTTATTCTGCATTGGTATTGCCTCTTGCTATTTTTTTTTCTTCTGCCGAGGAAGGGTATTGAGTGCTCAGCTTTGGAGCCGAACGCTGGAGCTCAACCCCACGGGCTTCCTGCGATTCCTTCTTAAGCTTCCGCTGGTTCCTGAAAGCTCAACTACCACTACTCAACATGCTCCTGTCGCAGGCTCGGGGGCGTTTGCCCTCGGCCTTCAAGGTTCTTCGCAATGCCTCTTTACCGTCGTGAGTAGCAATGGTTCTTCTGCGTTCAATTCGGCTTGTACTGACAATCCACTTGCAGCCGATCACTTTCCACCACCCTCCCGCGACGAAAAGCATCTCCCACAGACGATGACAAGCCCCTCAACAGTGTCTCCCGCCATATCACGCAGCCAATTTCGCAGGGTGCTTCTCAGGCTATGCTCTTCGCGACGGGTCTGACGGAGGCCGATATGAACAAGGCCCAAGTCGGAATCGCCTCTGTTTGGTACACTGGCAACCCGTGCAACATGCACCTGCTTGACCTCAACAATCGCGTCAAAGAAGGAGTCGAGAAGGCTGGTCTCGTCGGCTATCAGTTCAACACGGTGGGAGTCAGCGATGGTATCAGTATGGGCACCAAGGGAATGCGCTACTCCCTGCAGAGTCGCGATCTCATTGCGGACTCCATCGAGACGGTCATGGGCGGACAGTGGTACGATGCGAACATCAGCATCCCGGGCTGTGACAAGAACATGCCTGGTGTTCTGATGGCAATGGGACGGGTCAACCGGCCCAGTTTGATGGTCTACGGAGGTACAATCCGTCCCGGATGCGCCGTGACGCAGAACAACGCCGACATCGACATCGTGTCCGCTTTCCAGGCATACGGACAGTACATTTCCGGACAGATCACCGAGGAGGAGCGCTTTGATATCATCCGCCATGCTTGCCCTGGCGGCGGTGCCTGCGGTGGTATGTACACCGCCAACACAATGGCGAGCGCCATTGAGGTCATGGGTATGACCCTTCCCGGCTCCTCGTCCAACCCGGCCGAGTCCAAGGAAAAGTACCTTGAATGTCTGGCTGCGGGTGAGGCAATCAAGAACCTGCTTGTGAAGGATATCCGCCCCAGGGATATCATGACCCGCAAAGCCTTTGAGAACGCCATGGTCCTCGTCAACATTACGGGTGGCTCGACCAACGCTGTGCTTCACCTGATCGCCATCGCCGACTCTGTTGGCATCAAGTTGACTATCGATGACTTCCAGGCCGTGTCGGATCGCACGCCGTTCCTGGCGGACTTGAAGCCGTCGGGCAAATACGTCATGGCAGACTTGCACAAGATTGGCGGTACTCCGGCCCTTCTCAAGTTCCTGCTCAAGGAGGGTGTGATCGATGGATCGGGTATTACTGTCACTGGAGAGACCCTTGCTAAGAACCTGGAGAAGGCCCCCGACTTCCCAGATGACCAGAAGATCATCCGGCCCTTCTCCAACCCGATCAAGAAGACTGGTCACATCCAGATCCTGCGGGGAAGCCTGGCCCCGGAAGGCAGTGTGGGCAAGATTACTGGAAAGGAGGGTACGCGCTTCACGGGCAAAGCGCGTGTGTTTAATGACGAGGACGATTTCCTCGAGGCGCTGGAGCGCAAGGAGATCAAGAAGGAGGAGAAGACCGTTGTCGTGATCCGATATGCGGGCCCGAAGGGCGGTCCTGGAATGCCCGGTACGTCAGGACGTTTTGTGTATTCTTCTTACAGTCAAATTGAGCCCTGCGCTGACCCTCTACAGAAATGCTGAAGCCATCTTCTGCTCTCATGGGTGCCGGTCTTGGTTCGTCGGTGGCCCTAATCACTGATGGCCGATTCTCGGGAGGTTCTCACGGTTTCCTTATCGGCCACATTGTCCCTGAGGCCGCGGTGGGTGGACCGATCGCTCTCGTCCGGGATGGTGACATTATCACCATTGACGCCGAGAAGCGCGTTCTGGACCTGGAAGTCAGCCAGGAGGAGCTCGCTGAGCGCCGGAAGCAATGGGAAGCGGACAAGGAGGCAGGCAGGCTTCCTCCCACGGGTCTGACAATGCGGGGAACATTGGGCAAGTATGCTAGGTATGCATCAACTTTACTCTCTCGATACACTTATGGCAGAAGAAATATGCTAACCTTTGTTTTTTTTTTCCCATTGCAGAAACGTCTCCGACGCCAGCCACGGCTGTATCACTGATGCTCTGTAATTTTTTACCCCCTTTGATTTCTGTTATCAAAAAAGGGGAGCTGTACGATCGTCATAAGAAAAATGTTTTTTATGTGAAGGAAATGTGCTTGGAATTTGCCTTGTACAGCACAGTACCTATAGGCCATGTCTGCTGAGTCGTTTGACTATATCTATCCATCTCCAGACGGGCTGCTCAGCAGTGTCGATATGAGTTGAAGCAATGGAGAGAAAAGAAAAATAATAAAGCTGGCAATTCCTTCATGACTTGCTTGCCGATTATCTTCCTACTAGTTGCCGGCTTCATAGCCAGATCGTACAGTACATTCACTCGGCAAACATTGACAATCAGCTTGATTACTATTCTAGCATTATTTCTACCTGCATACCCAGGTATCCATTCAGCGTTTAGGGAGTTACCTAGTTGCCAGCACCTACCCGAAACAATGAGGAGGATGGAAAACCATCGAATGAGGGAAGGAAGGCTTTTTTGGCTTGTTTATAATTTATAAAAGGCCTACCTACCTATCTACTTTCTGGCGCTCTTTCCGCCATTCATTCTCATTCTCATTCTTTCTGATATAATATACCATTGCCTTTGTGTCGACTGAGATGGCTACTCTTGGACATCGACAGCTCTATAAATAAAAAAAAGGTCGCCTTTTTGTTTTGACTGCCTGAGTGTGAGTGAATTTTTCTCCGTCTTTGCCGTGGAGATTTATTGATTACGGACAGTTCTGCTATGTCAGTCCGTTTCTTTGTTGGAAAGATCGTTTTACAATGCCATCATCGACTCAATTCGCGGCTGTTGACGACCGCAGACAGAACTTGCCAATCAGGACTCTTTGACCACAGTCAACGAATGAGGCTACGTTGGTAGTGCCGTGTTCTGTATAGTGACATGCAGAGGCAGAGCGACTGTCGCAACTGTCTATGGCACCTGCCATCCAAAATGATATTCCATCCAGATCCTGCGTCTGTATATTACTGCTACATATACGGAAGCATCCTCTCTTTGATCGATTTTCATTTGGATGACAACACTCGTGTTTGCGTTTTTCGATCTACTCTGTCATTTCCGACGGGGGACACCTCCGTTCTTTAATGATATTCACACCATGTTCCGTCCATGACTAAATCGAATGACTCCCCTTTGGGAGTCATCAACCACCCATGGGGTATAAATATGCGTCTCTGCAAGAGGGTGAGGGATTCATATCTGTATCATCATCAGATTTGCTGCTCTCTGCTTCTTCTGCTCGGCTTTTCTCGATAACACTTTATTCAGGTTTACCATACATCTTCATAAATCTTTTATCACTATTTATTCTTCAGCATGACTTCGCCTCTGACGAAACTGGCTGTAGCAGCCACATCTGTAGCAGCACTCTTCTCAGCCCTGCTTATATCTAACCCTTCGTTTGCTTTTCCAGGTCTGGGACTCAAATCGGCAGACCTTGAAGGCTATGGTCTTCCATATCCACTCTTGATCCTGGTCAACCCTTTGGCCAGGTCCCTGTCTGGACCAGCTGTATCCGGATCAGTTCTGTCTCATCCTCCCGCTCCTGAAGGGCTCGTGTCTGTTGAGAGCGTTGCAAACGACAAGATTATTCCAAGTACAACGAATACCACTCGCGAACACGCACCAGATCAATGGGAAGCCATCCGCGTTAGGGAAATCGATCCCCACGGATTCTTCCACCTCGGTGACGACGGTGTCCGTCGCAGCTTTGGCGGTAACAAGAAGGTGGTCGCCTACCGGCGGCTCAGCCCGGCTGAAATCCGTCGCGATATCGACAGTCTCGCGGAGGCGATGGCGCGATCTGTTTCCAGGAGCAAGAACAAAAACAACGAGATATTCCTCGATGCCCTGGTCAAGCACCTGGACGAAGTCTACGAGGGGGTCGATGGACGTGACGTGACGGATCCGATGGATCTGTGGTACACAAGCGAGACGAGTAGACCTGCATGGGAACCGCCAGTCGAATGGCAAGACACAGATGACGCGATGGGTAGTTGCAGGTATGTTATATATCTCATTCTGTTGTAGCACTGACCTTCCTTTCTTCCTCCTTCCTACTCTATTCTACATATACATGTACTCTTCCCATCTTTTCATCATTGGATACATGTACTGTTCTCTTGACGGTAGTCACTGTTGCTTAAATATACTGACTTAGGGACGATATGATCGGTTATCCCGGGACCAGATGCTTGGTTGGGCATGTCATCTGTGCAAGTCACGAATGTATTACCGGCCTTCCGGAATGTCCGATGTGTGACTCGATGGACAATCATAGAGATAGATATTGTACGCCGCCTCAGAATTGAGCCGACTATCTATCGGGTCGAAATTGTTTCCTTTCCTTTTCTTAATTAATTTTGTATTTTCATTCTTTTTTTTCTTTGTCCTTTGACTTTACCTTCTTTCATATGTTCTCACCACTTAATCATTTATATTAGCTCTTTGATTTCTTGATTTCACTCCTTTGTGCATGTTGTTAGTTTGTTCATGTACGGAGTACAGTACTTTTTTTTAATTAGTTAGATTTGGTTTTGTTGAGTTTCCTTCCCCCCCCAACTGGTGGCTTTTTTTGCCAGATGCATGTACGGTACATACATTACAAACATACACATACCGATAATTTATAAAATTGGTTGAGAAACAGCTCATAAAAGTTACATATATATACATATGCAGGAGGAGTACATGTACAGTTCATGTATGTACTTTGCTGCATAGCACCTGCAGATATGTACTGTACTGTACTGTACATACAATATGCTTGCATATGCATGTGTATGTGTCTGTGCTATGTGCAAGACAATAATATATTGGTAAGATAACAATATAATATTGGACTGGTAATATAGACCAAAGAAGGATCCATCCAGACAATAATAGAATACAATGCAGTATACAGCTTTGTTTGTCTTTGTTACATTGCCCAGAGTTTCTATCTATCTACATATTATCTATTTGTAGAGACAAAATGAATACAGTGAAGACTATCGGTATAGTTGTTTATTTTATTTTATTTCACAGAAGAAGAAGGATCCAGCCTTGCATTGCCACATTTCTTGCTAATTACATGTACTGTTCCCACGGGACATGTTATCTACGTCGTGCTCAGCTTCGCCGTCACAGCATTCGTCGCCAGCGTTTCAATCCGCTGCGCATACAGGTCCATCGAATGCATCATCGGGTCGCCAAAGACGACGATTCGCAGTTCGGCGTCTGTGGTTACGCATGCTTCGATGGATGAGTCTTGCTGCTGCTGCTGTTGGTTCTGTCTGTTTTTACTGCTCGTCCGAAGATGACTAGGCGTCCTGCAACTGATAGCGACGAGATGGGCACCTTCCAACGCGCAACGGGCTGCTTCTTGTTTTGTGGCTTTGCGCTCAGCTTGGTTGTGGAATGGTTGTTCGATAGCAGAGTGTTCAGATGAGCTAATGGCGAGCCTGGCGCTGGACTCGCGTACAGCTCCAACAGAGACAACACATACGCCCGGTCCGCCCGCGGCACCGGATCCCCCTCGTTGATGAAGGAGAAGAAGCACGATTTGCGGTATGCCGGCGAGCGAGGCGTTTCCAGCGGCAGGAGCGAGACCGGCGGCGCGCCAAACGTCACGCAATGCACGCGCTTGAAGAATCCCCGCAAGTGAGTCAGTTCAGATTCGACGGTCTGCGACAGCGACAGCATGTGGCAGTAGAGCAGACTGGCCACCGCACCACCCGCGGAATGGCCCGTGATCAGCAGCGAGCACGACGCCCGGTTGGGATTCTCACGCAGCAGCTCCTGCAGTCGCCTGGCCACGGGACGGACCATCCTGCGCGCCACGGACAGGAACCCGGCATGGCACAGGTTCCCCTCGTCGTCGAGGAAGCCTTCTGGGGATTTAGGGTCCGTCCGCACGTTGACCGTCCAGTCGCGGAAGCTCTGCGTGCCGCGGATGGCGAAGACGATCGTGTTCATGTCGTCGAGCGGGACGGACTTGATCATCATGGCTTTCGTGCCCCGACGCCAGTCGGCCTCGATGTGGGTGTGACGTTCCGCTCCGGAGGGCTTGTCGTATGCTCGACGCGAGTACTGTGCTGCTAGGCAGAGAAGCGGCCAGGTAGCGAAGTAACTGCATCAGAAGTCAGATAGTCAGTCAACTAGTTGACCAGCACTGCGCTTTCTTTGCGATTCCTCGTCCAGCTTCAACGGCGGCAGATGCGGTGGCATCCGCGAGTTTGCATAGAGATAGACCTTGGAAAAGCAATTGCTAGACACGACACGGGTGGCAGCAGCCGTCTTTTTGTCTTTGTCTTTGGATCGCCTGTTATTCTCTCGAGCATCTCCACCGCGAAGCACAGGCTGTGCGTGGGTGACAACTGCGCAGTCAAGTTAGACCAAAGTCGTTAATCGTCTATCCGTAGAATACTTCCCTGTCGCGTCTACTCACCCAGATCACTTTCCAGCCCGCTAAACGAGCCGTCATCGTTCGCCGTGATGACATTGTCGAGTTTCAGCGAGACGGCATCGAAGCCCTTCCAGGTTTGTCGAGCCGATCATCTGATCGTGCACCTCGTAGGCCAGATCCCCCGCATCGTGGAGGGTCTGCGAGAGCGATCCTGGTAGATGAACGCAGGATTGCCATGGACGGTGACGTTTCGGTTCGTCTGAAGCTGCTGATGGCTGGGATACCTGCTGGTTGTATGCGTAGACTGGAGGAGTGGACTGCACAGGAGCAGACGGGGCACTGTAAGGCTGATGCTGATATTCCGGATTCGATGATGATGGCGGTGGACAAGAAGCATCTGCACCAGAGGGAACAGATTGATGATAAAAGCTCGTATTATTATTATTAAGCTCCGCTGCAGACAAGTTCGTCGTTGAACACGTCGCTAATGGCGTGGATGGCGGTAGACATGTCGGAGAAGTAGCAGAGTGCTTGCGGAGCTTGACGACTGGGGCAAAGAGAGGCATGGCGAGGATTATTATATTATTAGTCATGATCTGAACTGAGCTGGTTTATACCAATCTTCGAATTGATTTAATTATTACAGTCCAGTGTTGCAGCAGGCAGAGAACTCGAGCCCTTTCTATATATATGTACTGTACTCTACAGAGTACGCCTCAACCAACTCCAGTACCATACCGTACCATGCTGCGCCTTAAACTACTAACTCTGACTAATAACATCCATGTCAAAAACCCCAAAGAGCTGGGTACAGTACATGTACTACCGCATAATCCCTGCAATGCCTAGCATAAGGCTGATTTGGTTCTGCACCGCCCTGATGCAAGCTTGCTCATAACTCGCTGCTTCGCGAGCCGGGCGTGTGATGGCGCATGTCTTCTCGGCCAATCATGGCTTTGTGTTTGCCTGTCAAGTCAGCTGAATAAAAATAAGGCCGGGCAAGAGGGCACTAAAGTATTTAATAACTGGTGGCTACCTAATTACAGGGTAGAGTAGATGGCCTCTACGTAGATATAATAGAGTCTGGATACGTTCTACAGCAGTGATAATAAGGCTCTATCTATCTACTAGAAGACTTGGAAGACGCGCTTAGTTTTATCCTGCAAGAGGATTGGTATGGTTGATTTCATCTCTCCCCAATTGGCTTGCGATGACTAAGGTATGCGTTATGCGTCGAGGACCATCGCTAATGCCATGGCCAGCGATAATATACTTTGTGTTCATACTTCAGGAGAAGGACGAGGTTGAACTCTCAGCAATGCGTCATATATATTTATTTTTTTATAGAACAAACAGAACCACTCCATATGGCTTGCTCTATTTTGGTACTTATTTTTTTTTACCTCCTTCGCTTTGTCTTCGTCCACATCTTCACAAATTCCTGCTTTTCCTGAACACCTAGTCCAACCCGCTTGACTCGCCCCAGCCGGGCGAGCGCTTCGCCCACATAGTCCAGCACGGCCTTTTGCTCGCGAGTCAAGTCGCTGTTGGCGTCGTCGCCCAAGAGCGTGTCGGTACTGCTGCTTGGCGTGCCATCAATGGTGTCCACGTGATTGGTTGCGGAGGCGGAGCTGCTGTTGGTAACGCATTCTGCGATCCGGACCCGGATGCAATGCGTCGGCCTGCTCAGCAAGTTCCACAGAAACGTGAAATAACTCCCCGGAATCGGCGTCGTCACGTCTGCGGGCGTGTACCGGACGCTCACGGGGTAGATCTTCGTCTGTGGAGGAACGGCCACCAGAGACCGGCTCAGGGGTAAGACGCCCCGTCCGTTCGTGGTCGTGCACTCGGGAAAGATCACAATAGGGCGGTTGGGATATTTTTTCAGGAGCGTCGAAATATCTACCAGGCGAGCCCCGGGTCGAGGCGTGACTTCGGGAGAGGAGAAAGAGAGTAGGATGGCCTGGAACAAGGACAGTTGCTCCACCTTGGTAGTATTCGGGTAGGATGCGGTGAAGACCGGATCAAAGATGGCAGCCAGGTAGACGGCGTCAATGGGCGACGTAAATGAAGAGGCGATGATCGAGCTACCGTCCGGGAGGCGATCCTGATGCTGTTTCGCGAGTGACCTGCCAGGCGATTAGATTAGGTCTCCGGCACTTCTTGCATTTCGCTGCTATGTCAGACGAACCCTCTTTTGACGCCGTCGACCTGGAGGTCAATCCACCAGAGGCTCGGTATGCCCAGGATACACCATAGCGACGCCTTCTTCCCCAGCGATCCGATGGGAAGCCATTGCAGCACCAAAAAGTAGCTGAGACAGAACGTCACGAGCAACGGCAGTCGGAAGCAGAAAAGAAAGATGTGCAGCGGGAGCTGGAGACCGGAAGGCTGGGCAGGAATGGGGAGGAAGGGCGCGATACCCGAACCTGAAGAGATGGTTCGTCAGTCTGGAGAACGGACAACAGTGTCAGAACTGATCATTACCTCGGTCTCTGAACTGCGAAAACTTCTCCATTTTGTAGAGAACAGATCACAAATTGCGGTCAGGAGATGGTATAGCAGCGACAACCGCTAATTCCGCGCCATATGCCTGCAACACGTGGATGTAGATAGTAACAGCGTGGGAACCGTCAAGACATCCGCGAGATCGCAATAAGAATGGTATCAACCAGCTCAGCGAGATCGAAGTCTGGTGGTTCGAGGCCTAATAAAAGTCCAGGCCAGCTGAAAGATGTCGGAAGACGACCTCGTCGCGCTGCAAGGCCGCCGATTTGGACAATTAATAATGAATAATCAATTGGGCGCGATCATCAGGCTGTTGGCGCTGCGCATTTTGACATGTGAAAGTCTGGAAGACCACGACGTCCAGACCGCCGGGCCACACCGCCCACGTGACCCGCATGCTCCCCGATCGAGACTTTCCAAAAAGGGTTGTCCCAACAAAACTGGCAACATCTCCATTACACAGAGGCCCATCAATATACTTTGTAATTTCCTTACCTGTGAATTACGCGATCCGGTTAGTTTTCCCGCCTTCGGGTTCGCGTCCTCTTGCCGCCCAGAATTTCCACGGTCACCAGACTCGCCATTATAGAAACCGGCTCCTCTTGCCCGTTTATTGTATCCCTCCATTGTTCGCATTTTCTTCTGTCTCTCCCTCTCTTTTCCCGCCTTACGCATCCACTGGCCCTTCCCGGTTGCACATATAATCGCGTTGGGGGCCCCCCTTTCCCTCCCCATCCCTGCACGGCCTCCCCGAACTGTCGCTGTGCCGCTGCTTGATCGGCATCTTCATTGATCTTTTTTTTTCGCTCTTCCCCTCTTCCCCTCCCCCTAACACCTGGCCTCACCACGCTGTCTTATGTGATTCCGTGATGGTCTACGCATCTGGTGGACTGGTGTCTGCTCGACTGTGGAGCTGGTTATGGCTATAACAGCGGCCAATGGCTACTACAGCACACCATCTGATGTTATAATGCTTCATCGTCAGGAGCAAAATCAGCAACAACTACCAGGAAAATACAAGAAAGGCAAAAAGTTGCCAGCAGAAGGTTGTCAGCAGAAAGTAGTAAGCAGAATCAGCAACAACTGCTGGGAAAATGCAAGGCAAAGAGCGTCCAACAGGAAGTTGCCAGCAACAAGTTACTAGCAGAAAGTGGCCAGTAAAAAATTGCCAGCAGAAAGTGGTCAGCAGAAAGTGACCAGCGGAGAGTGATTACAAATAATGACAAGTAGTTAAACGTATTTCCCGGCCGACCCGGCCACCCACCTACACCCGCGAATACTATATGAAGCTATATTATCTGCCCAAAACGCCAATTATATACAAAAAGTTATGAATTGAAGCGATTCGGGCATCGAACCCGAGTATGCCTAATAGTATTACAGTTACTACATCTTGGCGGCACACACGTACGAGTTGTGGAAGCCGCCTCTGCAGCTGGAGCGGCTATAGCCTCTGGCAGCTGATTTTTACCTGAAATTCGACTTTGAATAAGAGCCTGCGCTTCCTGGATTGAAAGACCCCATTCATGAGATATCTGATTAGTCGATCACTTATGCTTTTGCTTCTGCTTCTCATTTATAGCCCATAAATCATGATTCTCCTTTGCAAGAATCACAGCACTATTTATAGCTAATTAATAGCCCTTAATAAGCTGATTTAGAGCTGCATTTATAGGGCTCGGAGGGCTCTATATATGCTGTTTTAGTAAGGCCTTAATTATAGCTGCCTGATGCTGTAATTTGATAATATTATGAGGTGTCTCTAGCACCTAATTGGATAAGATACTCCCAGCACAGCTTCTAGGTGGTATAGGGGTCTTAAGCTATATATTAAGCTGTATAAGGACCTGATCTGGTTAAAATGATACTAATACAGTTGCTGTGAAGCCATTTTTGATATTCTCTGGTTTGAATGCTTCCATGTAAGCTTTTATGTATGCTTCAAGGAAATCTAGCTTGTCAATATGATTATTATTATTATTATTCAAGTTTAACGTCCATACCTGTTACGAACCAACAAGAAGGGACGCTGTCCAACACAGCAACGCAGGATGAAACACTACCCCGCAGGACAAGGTCAAGACTACACAAGGAGATACCATTTGAGGTCACGTGACAAGGTATACGAATACCATGGGAATATACCAAGAATGGTATACAAGAAGGTCTTGAGAATACCAGGACAACATACCCCCGGAAGGTACACAAAATGGTATACCTAAGGAGGAATATAAAAGGAGGAAGAATTCCAGCCATGTACCTAGTCTTTCTGTTACTCGCGCTCAATTCACTTCATTCAACTTAAGTTACTAAGATACTTGCTCTGGAGGGTCAGCAAGACTTCTTACTACTATTGGTATACATTTGGTATAGCTCTAGTAGGCGTTGCCTCTGACCTAGTCGTTATTATTCTCTGTTACTGAAGACCCCTCATTGTGTTTCGCGTTACCAGCCGTCTTGTGGGAGATCGTCCGAGGAAGAGCCCTTCGCCAGTTAGGCCGTTGTCTCTGAGGGATAGAGACCCGGATCAGTTCGATCGTCGCGTGCTCGTGGACGGTATAGAGTCAAGAGGACTCCTTGATCCTTCCCTAACCACCACTGCTAAGTATCGACGACTACGGTTGGACCCAGCGCGTAACAATACCGAGCCTTTCGGCTATGATAGACCCCGAATCACGGGCCACAGCCCCTATCTAGTCTCTAAACTCATCTTTGACCATTCTAGACCTTTTCCTCGCCCCAAACTGCCTTACCGCGCAGGGCTTTTGGGCATTAAGTATGCCCTCCTTGGTGTTGTCACTGTATGGGTGTCACCTGCCTGCTGCAGGCCACCCTCCCCTATTATCCCTCCCCCTCTCGTTCTGCCTCCTCCAGGGCCTCCAGCCCCCATTCATCATCCCTATGAGCCCTATCTACCACCCGTGAATGGTCCAGTCAGTATGATTAATTCTAAGCTGCATATTGACTTCTATAAGGCAGCTATATATATACTTTAGAACTGCAAAACAGCTGACATTAAGAGGGCTATAGACCAGTCAACAGTAGAAACCTTCTATGAGGGGCAGAATAGGAAATAAGAGACAGGCTGTATACTACAAAGAAATCAAATGTTAAGGAATAGTGGGATTTGACAAAAGAAACAACAAAAAAAAAGGGGGGGGGGGGAGTCAGGATAGTTAACTAGTTAACTAGATTAGACTAGGTAACGTTAGTAGGGTTCTTGCTTAATCATTCGCCCCTAGGTGCCACTTCCTAGTGGCTATTTTTGACTCCTTGAGGAATTCAACTGGGCTTCCCTGGCCTTCCTTAGAAAATAGATAGAAAAGATTATAATCTTTTCTATTTACCCTAGAGAATGCTCTATATCTGATATCCCTATAGGCTGGGCAGTGGAATAATAGATGATATGGGATCTGTGTGACAGGTGGTAATTTAAACAGAACGATTACGACTTAGCTGTTGTGGAGTAGGCGATACGCCGTTGGTACGAGTGCACAACCAAAGCCGCTAGAAGCCGTGTATCAGGATGAGTTCTACCGCGTTTTTAATTCATTGCTCAGCAGTGGTTCGGGAATTTCGAGCGAGTGGTCTCGTGGTTCTAGTGGGAGAATTGACTTCAGGATTGTCGGCCCCAAATGGGGTATTGAACTTGTCCGAGATGGGAATCGCCTAACTGAGCATTGTCAGAAATTTCTCCCTGGCGGCGCGTATTTTCAATGGATCCAAGATGGGTTTCTGAGCGATTCGATTATCCTAGACTGTGGCCATCAGCACCCCAAACCATGCAGTAAGATTGCCCCTATCTCTTTGTTTCTTAGTGCCTGCTAACAAAAGTAGATTCATTTGGGCTGAGACTTTGGCGGGTAGTATTTGATGCTGATTACTCATCCGCATACGTGGTAGATTCTAATTGCGAAGGAGTGCTCCCACGTTTCCTATTACTCAACTAGATGTTGAAGACATCACAGCTTCCTTTGGCAGCGTCCACATACGGCATGGGTCTTGTGCTGGAAAACATACTGAGATATTGCTATCGTTAGCAGCAGAATTGCATGTAAAGTATACATACAGCTAGGCTAGCTGTCAAGTTCAAAATAGTATTATTGCTAAAGCACATTCCACTGGTCATTGATCATTCTCTATATGTATTTCTGGTTTAAACCTTATATTACAAGCACAAGATAGCGCGGCATCTTCATGTCCCTTTTACATGAGCTTCATCTCTCAATACGTTCTCCATAGAGAACCTGCGCAATTCACATAGAGAGGATGACGTCGCTCTGATGACATGTCGAACAGTCAGTGGGAACAATGGTTCCATTATGAGTTCGAGTAAGAAAGGCTGTGAGGTGCCATTATCAACAAATCAGATGACCTCCTGTAACACCCCACTATCCAAGTTTTCAATGAAGATTAGGTGCTCTACAAGAGAAAGAACCTGAAGTTAACTACGCCTCAACTTCGAAATAAAAGACAATAGCTCACCGGTCTTAAATTATTGGGGAACTCTCATCCAGAGCCCTGAGGAAGTCCCTATAGAAAGGAGGCGAGCCTGGTCACCTCATGGCAAAGCATTAATGTAATAAGCCGCCCGCAGAGTGGTGTTGATTAGTGCAAATAAAAGTTATACTAAAGCCACCCTGCTCTAAGGTTTACTTGAAGGGCCTTTAAATTCAAGGATTATTACCGAGGTCGCTAGCTACGCTTAAATTTGACTAATTAACTCTGTAAGGTTATCCTTAACTGGCCCGCATATGGAACACCACTCCGAACGAGGTGTCCCGCATGAAATGATACTAAGAATCAGTGGCGCTTATTAATCGTTCATTGAAGACAAGTTAATGCAGATGTCATCCCTGCTATATTCCTCTGTACTGAGATTGTCTTGTCAATGTCGAGTTGATTGAGTCCTTAATGTCTGACAACCATCCAGACATCTTTCATCGTCCTGTTCTGCATCTCTCCACCCTCCCTCCTTCACCTTTCTCCTCGCCCTGAGCGCGTTATCTGCTTCGGTCGATGTGGAGGAGGTCATCTTGCCTCATGAATTGCACAATCCAAATGCCTCTCAGACCATCCTCCTCATCCATGGCGGATTCTCTAGTGAAGAATGGAACAAGGTCTGGCCGTGTCTTACAGCAAGCAAAGACTATCACGTCCTGATTCCCGATCTGCAGTGTCATGGTAGAGCAATCTCTCTGGAAAGACATGGACTCTTCTTCGACTTGGACGATACGGCTGATCATCTCGCAACACTCATCCGCGACCGAGCCCGCAAGGGGGTCGCGCAAGTGGCAGGTATGAGCATCGGCGCCCATGTTGCCGCCCATTTAACGGCACACCTACCCAGAAAGGGTGTCAACCCTCTTTGTCATCGGATTCAAGTTCTTCCCCAGAACACCGGATAGTACTTTTGTCTTCGACCGTCTCCGTCTTCTCTCCCATTGGGGTCTACCTCCGTGATTATAGGTTGCCCTAGTTACGAGCCCGAGGGAGGCCATCGCAAGCATCATCCACGGCGAAGGATCGCTCTCGCTGTGTCGAGACATTACCCGGACTTGTTCTGTGATAGATTTCTACCCGTCATTTGTCGCAGAGTGCTCATCGTTGCCGCAGCGAAGGAAAGCCTCTTCCTGGCCAAAGACAGTGTCGAAGGTGCTGCTGCAGCGAAAAAGGAAAAATTACGAGGCAAGATACAGGAGAATATAGAGTCCAAGCAGCAATAGAGGAACAGAAAGATCAAAAGACAAAAGAATGAGGAGAACCAGTCGGTCCATAGGGGGTCTCTGAGAGTTATATGACCGGATTATAATTAAGACAGATCAAATGAGGGAAATTAGGGACAGGGCCCTCCATATTAACGGCTATAAGCTAGATGAATGAAATAGCAGGGAATGGAAGGCCATGAATGTACGAAGGCAACGAAGCTCAAAATGGCCATGCTCTGGGAGGTCAAAAACGACCTCCAGTTATATCACGTGATCAGGTCGGCCGGCGTTAAGGAGGCAAGCATTGCGGAGGACGATGTGCAAAGGCCACAAAAAAAACGGCGTCAAAGACCACGCATTTCGGCGGCGATTTATCAGGTAGATAACTTCTAGATGTAATTACAGTCATATCTCCAGGCATCCCGTCACTCAGTTAATAAGTCCATCTATCCCAGCCATTTGCTGCATGCTGTCACTCTTTCCCCCTTTCTCGTGTCAGACGAGTGATCGATTCGCTGTCTCCTCTACCCCTTAAGCCTGCTCCGTCGACATCATGCCATTTGAAAAGCTTCCATCTGGCGAGACAAACCCAACAATAACCCATCAAGCCAAGCAAATTGGTCGACTGATATATCGACCGGCATCATGGTCTCGCCAGCCGATTGCAAACGACTAGGGAAACACAGCACCAGCCTGCCACCGTTTCACTGGTTCAACGCACAGACTTGGTTCAGACTCCTCGCATGCCCAGCATACGTCCCCGCAGTAGGAATGTCACGACAGCGACCAGAGTTGGCCAGTCGCTTCTGGCGATCCTGATGCTCCAAATCGACCACGTAATGCAAGCCTTCCCCCGGGGAGAAACCGTGAAGTCCAGACAGAGGGTATCTGTAGACAACAAGACCCAGGAAGATCACCGTGAATAGATTCATCTGCCTCTGCCTCTGCCTCTGCCTTTTGCCAATATGTATAGCTATAGAGACCTCAACAAGGGGTGAAACGATCAGAATACATGTACTGAGTAGTTAGGATGGATTAGATTAGATTAGATTAGAAGAAAAAAATGGCCTCGACCAAGAAGCCCGGGTTGTTGCGCAGGTTTGTATAGCCTCCCAACCCGCTTTGTTCCGAGTGGAGTGGATCTCATGTCCGTTTCTGGGCACGTTAACTGCTATATAAAGAAAAATCGAATTTCTTTGACCTCTTTATGCGAACTGAGTCAGTTCGGTCCCAGTACACTCTTAAAGAAACAAAGAAAATGAAAAAGGATAGAATGCCCAGAGGAGTGTCAGGGGTGACACAAGACGGAAAGCAAACGACGGTAGAACCCTAAGCTTGGGCCCTAAACCCTAGATGGGTCGGAAAGCCTTGGCGGCCAGCAACCACCTGACAAGCAGTGACCAGAGCTTGTAATTCACTCAACAGGCCTGTCTAGCAGGGGTAACTGATGCTGTTGCTTGGTTTGTGATAGACTTGGTTTCAGGCTGGCAGAGGCAATTTACAGTGCATAGAATAGCTACATAAGAGTATATACCTATGAATTTATGATAAATAATCGCAGTGAAGAACCTGTTGCTACCAGTTGTATGATATATTTATCTAGCTGGAGTTGTTGAGCTACTCCATATTAGCAAAGCTAGACTCTCAGGCATATACATATGTAATGCTAATATGCCTTGTAGTTTCTAATTCATAGAGTGTGAAACTAATATCAAACTGAATCTAAGCCTATTTTCACTCAATTGCTTGGAAAGCAATCACAGAACATTGTATATTGTTAACCCAAAGGTTCACAACAATGAATTGAAAAGATCATTCATCCCCACAAACTGTCAATCGTATCTCCTCGCTTGTGTTCCCAACGATCAAGTGGCTCCTTCTCTGACTGCAAGACTGTCTTCCACAGCAAACTGTTATCCTTGCATTGATGCCACACACCCATCCCATCTACAGTATACTTAATAACATGGCCATTGTCATCATAGGCGATATGGGGAGGTTCCAGTGTTCCGTCGGCGGCGCAAATGAGGCTCTGGAGTGGTACAAGTCAGTCAGCCAGGTCATTCTCTTTTCTTTTTAGGGGGAAAAGTCGTATTCGAGAGTTCAAACTAAGCTGCCAACCCACCTGAGCAATATACGACAAGCAATGCTTCAAATGCGTAGGAGAGAGGACATCGAGGTCACGGGTGAGGTGGTCATGACGCCCGTGATCCTGCATCTCCTGCATCGTTCCTTGACCCTCCTGCATTGTAGCGCGGAGCATCATCAGGCAATGCAGACCGTGGAACATCGCCACTCCCCATGGCTCTGGATCCGCTGAGGAATCGTTCGTCTTGACATAGACGTATCCGCCCTTCTCGGGGAAAAGGAGCGTGTCCCACGCCTTGTCGCCTGCAGGCCCCAGATCCTCCAGAATCTCAATCACGCGAAAGACGGAGCCGACTGTGTTGTCGCTCTGGGAGTGATCATCTGGTTCACCGTGGTGAGGGATCGAATGCGGACCCGAAGGGAACAATTTCGGCATCGTCTTGGCCATGGCGATCGAGTTCGACTCCCCTGGCGGCGAGAGAACGCGCAAGTAGATGTCGATCGTCGTCACGACGATGAGGATTGCACCGATAGAAACGAGCAGAAGGTGCCAGGTGCATGACGCCGAAGAGGCGGGAGATCTGACGAAGTTCACCATGGCGAGACGATAACCGTCCGGTATCTGAATCAAACTTTCCGAGTCTTTTTTGAATCTTGACTAAAGGAAATCTGCGAAGGGAAGATACAGCGTGGAGATGGGAAAAGGCAGTCGATATTGTCCCACCGGAAGAATTGCAAGGTTCCGTCGAAGGAGGAGAAGGAGAAAGTCACCAATCGACGTGGCAGTTATCACTTGGCCATGACAGCGGTCATTCTTGGATTCACATTTTTGGGATGACTTCGGAGCTTATTCGGAATTTATTTTTCTTGTTCATACTATAACTTCTATAACGAAATCCTCCAATTGAGTTTGGCGACGGTTACGATGGGGATTCCCCGTTTCTTTGTCTATTGTTTGTTGAATTGACCTGTCTACTCTCGATTGCCGAGCAGATCATGTCGGCAGATGGTTTGTTTACAAGATGTCGATCATTTCTCAAGGTCATCCATTGAACTGGGAAAACGCATTCTCATTCTGCAGCTAAGTCCTAATCATGTGGTTGGCAACTCATAGAATATGGTTCCCTTCATAACGAGCAAAATACATCCGTCCTCATCCCATAAGCATATCAATCCCTAACGCAAATTCCACACATCGTCGTCATCTGGAAGGAAGATCCTCCAAATTCATCGCCCCGAAATACCTTCGTGAAGGTTTACTGGCCGTCGCTTAGACGCGCGCGACTTGGCCGTCAGTCGACTCGCGCTTGTCGGGGGGGTTGAAGTAGTAAATAGGAATGGAGCGCTTCTGGCCATGAGGCCCAGTCACATCGGGAGGAGGAATGTAAAAATCTTCACGGTCCTCTTCAGCATTGGCACCCTCCTTAGGGGCAACGTAAAAAGCAACAGCACGCTTGTCGAGGTTTTCATCATCACCCTCCTTGGAGGCGACGTAAAACGCAACAGCGCGCTTGTCGACATTGGCTTTTTCAGGAGTGACATTATAAATTGGTGGAAGGTAGTAATCGCGCTTGTCGAGGTTTGCATCATCACCCTCCTTAGAGGCGACGTAGAAAGCCACAGCGCG